TCTGTCTATGGCAGCTATTTTAAAAGGGGAGAAGAAAGGATCCAAGAGTAACTAGACTTAGATCTGGGCATGGAGGTCAGCGGTGGAGCATCGGTCTAATGTGTACGGGGCTCACACCTTGGTTCCCAGCACAGGACGAAACAAAACAAGAGCCTTGATCCTGGTATCTTAAATTTTTACATGTGGGGAATGGGAATGGGTTCAGTAGGTAAAACACTAGTTGCATAAGCTTGGGAACTGTAGTTTGAATCCCCAGAACCCATGTAAAAGGTGAGCAGGCACAGAGACCACCTGTAACCCAGCACTCAGGAGGCAGAGGCCAACTTCCCCGCTATAGAACAACTGCCCTTGAGTTCATGTCCACCCCCCCAACACTTCCTCCTGAATGTTTCGATGAAAGCGGATTGCAGGTGTGAGTTGCCATACCCATTGTTTATTGTTTTCTAGTATGTGCACTTCTGTCTTATAAATTTCCTTTTCAAGCTAGTCATGCTTGTTCATGTGTGTAATCCCAGCACGGGGTGGGGGGCAGAGGTGGGAGGATCACCGAGCTAAGGCTCACCTGGTGATCGTCATAGTGGATTCTAGGTCAGTCAGGGCCGTGTGAGACTGTTGGAAAAAGCCAATGAGAATATAAGTAAACATCCCTTCCAGTGCTGCGCCTGTCGTGCCTTGATCGTTCATGTTCTTTTTATTTAGTTCAATCCATTCCTGAGAAATTTCCCTAGAGAGGCTGTGGTGCAGCTCAGCAGCAGAACACCTACCTAGCACGGCAAGGCCCTGGGTTCATCCCTAGCACTGTAAAAAAGAGCTCACGTGTCTGGAAGATCTATGCTCTTCCAAAGAAAGGAACAGAAAAAGGAAAATTCCCTTGACCTATGAGTTACTTAGAAGTATGCCGTTCAGTTTCTACTTTCCAGTTATTGGGAGAGTCTTCTTATCTGTAACTGATTTGTTTGATTATTTTGTGGTCAGATAATTCTACATAATTTCAGTTCTTTTCAATTTGTTGAGATTTGTTTCATGGTCAGCATAATGTTTATCTTGATAGCTCTGTGGGTTCTTGAGAGGAACATATTTTGGCTGTTGGGTGCGGTATTGTCTAAAGACTGGAATATGGCTGCTTGCTGGGGGTTGTGAGCTGCCGTGTGGACACTGGGAAGTTGCACCTAGGTTCTCTGGAAGAGCAGCAGTCTGTTAAAGCGCTGTGCCAGCTCTCCGGCACCACCACGCACCTTTTTTGGGGTCTTGAATGAAAAAAAATCCTTTCCCCCTTAACCAGTGAGAACCAAAGTCAGGACTTTGTGCTTTCCTTAGCAATTATCCTGCTGCTGAACTAAAGCCTCAACTCTTAAATACAAAACCTGGATAAGATGACATAGGTGAGCTCTAAGGAGTCAGAACTTAGTGAAGGAAAACATAAACAGACAGCTTCCTTAAAATGTCAGACTTCTACCACCACAAAACACCCTGTTAATCCATAGATAATGGAAGGAAAGGTCTGTGCGTGTTGCTTAGTATTCTCCTAGCATGTCTGAAATCGTAGGTTTGATTTTTAGCATATAGATTACCACGTGGTAGATACCAACTTAGGCTACATGAGACCCATCTCAATACCAGTATATATAAAATAGATGCAAACCACATTTCATACCAAAAAAACTGGAATATTTAAGGTGGTCTCAAAATTCAGTGATTAAAGACAAGAGCAGGAGATTTTGCTAGAGAGGACAGATAGCATTAGGCAAGATGGTCAGGGCCACTGGTCAGCCAGGAGGGAATAGGAGCTAAGGTGTACCACACTCGTTCTCAAATGTCAAAAATAAAAACTCACACTATGAAAAACTGGCGGTTTTGGGAAAACTGGATTTCATCCATTTTGGGGGTACTGTAAATTGTATAGCCATCTGAAAAATAGTTGAGCTGCTTCTAGGAAAACTAAATATGTGTGTTCCCATGTGAGCCAGCAGCTGTGTCCCTCAGCATTGATCCCAGAGAGCTGAAAACTGACATAAAAACCTGAATAGAACTCTTCATAGCAGTTTTATTTTTCTTTATAGTGTTTTGTTTGCTTGAGACAAGGTCTTGCTGTGTAGCCAAGGCTGGCCTCAAACTCACAAGAGTAAAGGACCTAAGTGGGCAGGGTAGAGAGGAAAATGGGGGCTGGAAAAGACAAATACCATGTATTCTTATGTGGAGCCTGGATTTAATCGTGTGTGTGTGTGTGTGTGTGTGCGCGCGTGCGTGCAAGCAGAGGGAATGAGGGAGAGGGAGAGAGATGAAAGCAGAAGGGACCAGTGGGGTAGAAGAGCAACAGGGGCGGAGTAGGACAGCTATAGGAAGGAAGATGATGGGCAGATACAAGTCAAATGCAGGGAGGCCTGTGCGTGGACAGTTACACACAGCACTTTATGTGTGTGCCTTATGTTTAACGTTAAATTGTAACTCCATTTTCATAATGGTAATAGTAATGTCACAAAACTATGACTTTGAAATCAAGTAACTACCAGGAGATTGAAGGTAAAGCTGGTGTGACCATAAAAAGATAAAGGAAATCTGTAGTAATGGGATGATTCTGAACACTGAAACAAGGATGATGATTTTATAAAACCATGTGATGAACTATTCGCGATCTCTAGGCCCGTACATGCAATGCAGGCGCTCTGATCCCCTGATATCATCATATAGGTAGTGATTCGGGGGAAAGAAATGGATTGTAAAGAGTCTGTATACTGCTTTTTTTAAAAATTAATTCTTTTGAAACTTTTATTAGCTTAAGATAAAATGCATTATAAAATATTCTCTCCTTTTAAAGAGTTTGTTAATTTATGTGCATGTGGTAGGAAGACAGGAATGTGCAGATGCCCACAGAGGCCAGGTGTCACGTCCTCAAGAACTGGGATTACAGGCTGTTGTGAGCTGCCTAACATGAGTGCTGGGAACCAAACCTGTGGACCTCTGGAAGGGCTGCTGAGCCGTCTCTCCAGCTCCTATAAAAGTAATCTAAAGCCTAATGTAATATATCATAAGTTAATCTTATGTAAATATATCATAAGTTCAAACAAGTTGCAGTCAATTGTTGCCCAGAGAGAACCATTTGTTTGTGTCAGAGCCTCAAGTAGCTAAGGTTGGCCTTGCCTCTGTGTAGCTGAGGTTGGTTTTGGACTTCTGTTCCTTTTGCCCCCAACGTCCTAATTACTGGAATTGTAGACATACAGCATCATGCCTGCTTTATATGGTTCCAGATTTGAACTCGGGCCCTGATGTGTGCTAGGCAAGCATTCTACCAGCTGAGCCACGTCCTCAGATCCCACTTGGAGCTCTAAGGCCGCTGGCCTTAGATGTTGGATATTCAGGAAGAGAAGACAATTCATTATTTGGTTTAACTAAATTTTCGTGTTAACAAAAATAGAAGATTATGTTTATTAAAAAGACAAGACGACTCTGTGCTTCATCAAGACTACAAACCTCAGTAAAGACAGGACTCCAGAGCAGTGACAGCCTGGGGACAGACATATCATACTATTTGGATAGGAATTTCTTCCTTTCTACTGTTCTATTTACTCAGATTTAGTGGTTCTAAATATATGCACAAAGGTTAGGGGTAGGTGTGTGTGTGTGTGTGTGTGTGTGTGTGTGTGTGTGTGTATGTGAATATGGATTCTTACTTTAGGGGCGTGGCTGTCAGCAGCAAGTGCATATTAAGTTCAAGCTCAAAAACCTGCTGACTGGTGCTGCACAGGCCAGGCTTTTAAATAGCAATGCTTTGGGGGATGGTGTTCTAATTTTAGTTGAAGGTATAGGTTAGATCTCATTTCTCACAAATGATCTAGAAGATTCACTGATCATCGAAGAAATAGTCCCACCATGTGCCAAGGTGCCATTATAAGGACTTAGGTTCCCCTAGCTATACGTGACTGCGCCATTCTTACCTTTGCTATTGAAGAGTCTGGGCTTTGGTTTGGTAACTTGAGCAAGACTACACCGCAAGTATTTCTGGAATTTGAGACCACATTCCAGAGCCAAAGTTGGTGGGGATATTAACAAATGTTTTTCACTGAGTGTGTGTGTGTGTGTGTGTGTGTGTGTGTGTGTGTGTGTTTGTGTATGTTGGATACACTTAATTGCCTGACTTGATTTTTGTCTCCAGTAGCAGTGGACTTGCTAAGGAAGCTAGTTCCCTTAAAAGTTTTCTTCCATTCGTTTATTGGGTGTATATGTATATGTGTGGGTAGGTGTGTACACACGTGGGTGTGTGGGTGTGTGCTGCCACAGCATGTGTGTGAAGGTCAGAGGATGATTTGCAGGAGTTGATTCTATCTTTCTACCTCGTGGATCCCACAGAGCACCAGCAGGCTTGGCAGCAGCAAGTCCTTTCACTGCTGAGCCATCTCACCAGCCCCAGCTCCCTATCTTAACCTTACTAAAGCTTCCTTCAGTAGCAGCAGCAGCCAGTGGCAGTCCTATTAGTATTCTGTATACTTCAACCTTATTGCTTCTAATGTCTTCAAGAAACCTGGAAGCAGGACAATCATTTTTGTTGATTCTGGAAACCAAAGGCCTTTAGTCTCTCCTAACTCACTGATCAGATTATCGTTTCTAGGGAGATGACCCCACTGTGATAAAGGACTGAGTAGCAAGGAGATGTTCTCTAAATACAAATGAATCCATCCGTGGGATTATCCACTGTGTAGCTAGGCAAGCCCCTAAGATCACAATGCAAGACACAGTGAAAAGGTTATACATTCCCACTCTGTAAATTATACAAAGTTTCAATTCCTCTAAAGATGATTAAACAGTTCAGAGTGAAACAGACAAATAGCCCCCCACACACTCACAAAGTTCAGAACTGTATTTTTTTATTTTCATTGAAATCAAGGCATATTGCTCCAAATTATAGATAGGTTTAATAATTAAGAAAAAAAAGAATCCAGCCTGGCTGTTGACAGTCATGTCCTGGGAACACGGTGAGTTGGTCTAACTCTGTCTTCTCTTCACAGGAGTATATCAAGGGGCTCTGCGAGCCTGAGCTGGAGGAAAGGGAGCGCTACCCCAAGGCCATGCACTGCATTTTTGTTGGGGCACAGAGCCTCTTTTTGAAGAGCTTGATTCAGGATACTTGTGCTGACCTCTGCGTTTTAGATACTGGGCTTCTTGGCATCCGAGGAAGTGCCGAGGCTGTGGTCATGGCCAGGAGTCACATTCAGCAGTTTGTAAAACTCTTTGAGAATAACGAGAACCTCCCCAGTAATCAGAGAGAGTCGGAAATCAAACGGGAATTCAGACAGTTTGTCGAAGCCCATGCAGACAGTTACACAATGGACCTGTTGATTCTGCCTACTTCCTTGAAGAAGGAACTACTGAGTCTCACCCAGGGGGAAGAGAATCTGTTTGAAACAGGAGATGATGATGTCATTACTGTTGGAGACGTGCGGCCACCAGAGTTCACACAGAGTGCTGCCACAGGACCGAGTATTGCTAGAGATGAAATTATTGTACAGGAAGATTCCAGAAATAAAGCGAGGACCCCTGTTTCTGAGCTTACAAAACAAATGAACACAGTCTTTTCTAGTTCACCAGATGTGCTTTTTGTTCCAGTGAATGGTCTAAGTCCAGATGAAGATGCTGTTTCCAAAGACAGAGTTTGTCACAAGAGGAGGTCTTCTGATACGGAAGAAAGGCATACCAAGAAGCAGTTTTCCTTAGAGAATGTTCCAGAAGGGGAGCTTTTGCAAGATGATAAGGCATCAGCTGGAAGTGAAGTCATCGACCTGTCTGATCCTGCTACGAACTCTACAAATCTAAGCCCTGATGGAAAAGACACTACAGAAGAAATGGAATACAATATCCTTGTTAACTTCTTTAAAACCATGGGCTATTCCCAAGAGATTGTTGAAAAGGTCATTAAGGAGTATGGGCCTTCTACAGAACCATTATTGCTCTTAGAAGAAATTGAAAAAGAAAATAAAAGGCTCCAAGAAGACAGAGACTTTCCACCTTGCACTGTGTATCCAGAGGCCAGTCAGAGCAGAAGTGCAGGAGTTGGGAGTACCACAAATGAACTCACAGCAGATTCCACTCCAAAGAAAACACAGAGTTCCACAGAGCAAAATATGGTGGAACGATTCTCTCAGTTACCATTCAAAGACTCTAAACAGTGTACCTCAAACTGCAGAATTAATTCTTTCAGAACAGTGCCAGCGGGACAGAAACATGAGATCTGGGGCTCAAAGCAGAACTCAGGTTGTCCTGTAGACCTGGAGACCGATGGCCCCTCGGTCTCTGCTGCCTCTGCCAGCCCTAAAGATGTCAGTTTTGTTTCAAGGGGAGCTGTAGGGCACCAACAGAGAAACCCAGCTTTTCCTGAAAATGGTTTTCAACATCAAGCAGAACCTTTGCTTCTAAATAATATGAAGCCTGCCTCTGAAAAGCGTTCTGGCTGCTCTAGCTCTCCTCAGCCTAAGCCAAATTATCCTCCACTTTCTCCACCACTGCCGCTGCCCCAGCTGCCACCTTCAGTTCCTGAGGCTCGATTCGGGGGATCCTCCGATCATATCGATTCCTCAGTTACGGGGGTTCAAAGGTTTCGAGACACCTTAAAAATACCTTACAAGCTGGAACTAAAAAATGAACCAGGAAGAGCAGATTTGAAGCATATTGTTATTGATGGGAGTAATGTTGCAATTACGTAAGTCACTCTGCAGAGTATTCTTACATAGTTTTCTAAGTAGTGTGAGGGGCGTGTGTGTGTGTGTGTGTGTGTGTGTGTGTGTGTGTGTGTGCAGACCGTCCTGTATATTCTAGTGGATCTGCATCCTTTCTTGGGGGAAGATCAGCTGCTTGTAAAGTCTTGCATTTGATATTAAAATAATTATTTAAAATATAAATCCCAACAGTAGTCCGGTTGCTACCTGCCCCAGCAAGTTTTTTTTTGTTTGTTTGTTTGTTTGTTTTTTTGTTTTTTGAGACAGGGTTTTTCTGTTTAGCCCTGGCTGTTCTGGAACTCACTCTGTAGACCAGGCTGGCCTCGAACTCAGAAATCCGCCTGCCTCTGCCTCCCAAGTGTTGGGATTAAAGGCGTGAGCCACCACTGCCTCGCCCCAGTAAGGTTTATGTTCCTGAATGAATTAAAACACACACACACACACACACACACACAGCCTTTATATTTTAATATGCCTTAATCAACACAATAGCTGGGCCATTTCCTGACCTCTATGCAGTTATTCCTTATTAAACTATCTTTGCTGCTCTGGACCCAGAGGGCTGCATAACTGGGCTGTGCTCTGTGCCACACTCCCCCGTTCCTTCACATGGCAGCCATACCTCTCTGTCCTGCACTCTTCGTCGTCCTGTCTCTCCCTCCCTCCCCTCCACACTCTTCTGGCTTGGAGCATCTCCTTCCTCCTCCTCTTCCCAGTCCCAAGCCTGAGAAACCTAAAAGTCCTGCCTCTCTCTGCCCTGCCTAGACATTGGTTGCCAGCAACTTTATTTACCAGTCAGAATTAACTGGGGTCAGGGTCCCTCAGTGTCTTACTTCAGACTCTTGTAAACAATTCTGGGGACCCAAATTAACATTAGACTAGAAGCAGCATTAGGCCAAACATTTGATCTTTTGGGGTTCTGAACTTTCCCTTCACCCTATTCCTGTGGGTAAGAGACGGTAGAGACTGTATTTTCACATTACACATTGCTCTGTGGCATATAGGCTACAGCTGTAAATGACTTAGACTTTGAAATTTGTGTTACCATTAAACTCCCAGTACAAGAGTAGAGCAGCCACTGCCTTCATTTGTGAGACAGCCTCCTAGGGCCCAGTCTGCCTGCTAATGGTAGTCCTTGCCTCAGCTCCCTCAAAAACACTTTCAAGAATATTTTATTTTTATTTTTATTCTTAATTAAGTGTATCTGTGTGACTGAAAGTCGATTTATACACTTGAATACAGTGGACACAGGGGCCAGAAAAGTGTCTCCAGCCCCCTGTTGCTGGAGTTGTAGGTGGATTGAGCAACCTGCTGTGAGTGCTGGAAACGGAATTCAAGTCTTTCTTAACGGCTGAGCCATCACTCCCAGTTCCTCCAGGTGTAAGATCCTGAGAGTAGTCTTCTGTGCTGCTGGGTGTTTCTATGGCCTCTTCCGAGGAATCCTAAAAGAGCCACTCATGTCTTACAGTTTTAGGAATACTAAACTATGGCATTTTTTTTCTGGTACTCATGTTTGGGCAATGGCCTTCTCTGGGTGAGACAAGCACTCCACCCTGATCCAGTCTCCCAAATCCTCTTCATCTTTCGTTTTGAGCTGCTCTTCCTAAGTTGCCCAGGCTGGCTGACCAGGCTGTGTTCAGATTCACAGTCCTCCTGCCCTGTCTCCCCTAGTGCTTCTATTACAGGCATGAAAAATTAGTTATTGGCATGTGTTTATTTTGTTTTATGTGTATAAGTTTTGCCTGCATGTTTTTTTTTGTTGTTGTTGTCGGTTTGTTTGTTTTTGGTTTTTTTCGTTGTTGTTGTTTTTTTTTGAGACAGGGTTTCTCTGTGTAGCCCTGGCTGTACTGGAACTCACTCTGTAGACCAGGCTAGCCTCGAACTCTCAAACTCAGAAATCTGCCTGCCTCTGCCTCCCAGGTACTGGGATTAAAGGCCTGCACCACCACTGCCTGGCTGCCTGCATGTTTCTATGTCCATCAAGTGTGTACCTGGTGTCCATGGAGACCAGAAAAAGGTGTTGGATCCCTTAGCTCTACAGTTACCGTTTGAGCCCACTGTGTGGGTGCTGGGAACCGAACCCAAGTCTTCTGTGGGAGTAGTACGTTTTCTTTGATGCCAAGGTATCTCTCCAGCCACCTATGTTAGTTGTTGTTCTCCCCTGCCTTTCTCTTCCTCCTCTTCTTCTTCCTCTTCCTCCTCCTCCTCTTCTCCTCCTCTTCCTTCTCCTCCTCTTTCTCCTCCTCTTCTTCCTCCTCTTCTTCTTCCTCCTCTTCCTCTTCCTCCCCTCCTCTTCCTCCTCCTCCCCTCCTCTTCTTCTTCCTCCCCCTCCTCTTCCTCCTCCTCTTCCTCTTCTTCCTCCTCTTCCTCCTCCTTCTCCTCATGTGTATGCATGTGTATTTGTGTGAATGCATTCCACATGTTTGCAGAGTGCTCAAAGAGGCCAGAAAACGGCACTGGCTCCTCTGGAGTCAGCGCTCCAGGCATCTGCGAGCCTCCCTATATTGGTGTGGGGACTGAGCTCGGCCTCTCTGAGAGCAGCAGCACTTTCAGTAGTCTCTAGTACTGCTTTTTTTCTTTTCTTTGTTTTTTGTTTTGTTTCATTAAAATTTACAAACAGATATAAACAAGAAGACTCTTTGTGGATTTACTCAACAGTTGATAGTTCATGACCAATCTTTTTTCATCTGGAATCTTCTTACCTACCACTTTAAACCATTTAACTTATTTTATTTTTTGTTTTATTCTGTTTATTTTCCCTGTCCTACTGGGGATGGAAGCCAGGCTCTTCTGATTGTTAGGATAGTACTCTGCTGCCGAGCTCCCTCTAGTCCTTTGGGTGGTTGTAAGGAAATCTCAGATACATATTTCATCCATAAGTACTTCAGAGTGTGTCTCAGATACAGTCCGTGTTGCTTTCTGTTCGGAATTATCTCTTACTCAGAGGAAAGAGGGGACTTTGTGTCTTGGCAGCTGCCTTCCTCGTGGTGGTGAGAATTCTTGCTCAGTTCGTCTCCCTTTCTTTCAGTGTGTATGTGTCCTTTTCTTAATGACCTCTGGGACCTGTTTGTCCTTGGCAGCAGGGCAGAGCACACTGCTGATGGGGAGCACAGCCACACACTTCTTAGGTCATGTCCCATATGAGCTTGATGTGCTTGGTGAGGTGCCTCTAAGACAGCCTTGTAGCTTTTGGTATGTAGTTTTTTGTTTTGAAACATGGTCTCACCATGTATCCCTGGTCTAGAACTGGCTTTGAAGACCAGGCTGACCTTAAACTCAAAACAAAAATCTAGCCTGCCTTCTAAGTGCTCGTATTATAGACATGCCCCATTACACCTGGCTTGTTGGTTTTGAGGAAGGGTCTTACTCTGTAGCTCTTGCTGGCCTGCTATGTTAACCAGGCAGGCTGCAAAGTCATGGAGACCCTCCAGTCTGTGCCTACCGTGTGTAAGTAAGACTTCAATGCTGTGCATGCCTGGTGGTATGAATTTTTACAAGCATTGTTTTACTTTTCTTTTTTTTTTTTTTTTTTTTTTTTTGGTTTTTCGAGACAGGGTTTCTCTGTATAGCCCGGGCTGTCCTGGAACTCACTCTGTAGACCAGGCTGGCCTCGAACTCAGAAATCCGCCTGCCTCTGCCTCCCGAGTGCTGGGATTAAAGGCGTGCGCCACCACCGCCCAGCTTGTTTTACTTTTCTTTTTTAAAAATAAACCATTGATTATATGTTTTCACTTGTTGTCAAAATTTAAAAAAAAAGTGCCACCGTGTTAGATACTAGAAGTTAGCCATCTGGGCTGGGGATGCATGTAGCTCTGTTAGTAGAATGCTTGCCTAACGTTCTTGAAGCCCTGGGTTTTATCCACCACACCTTGTAAGCTGGGCGTGGTAGCCCCTTCCTGAATCCCAGCCCTGTGAAGGTGAAGGCAGGAGGACCGAGGTTGAAAATGAAAGGCAGGGTGAAAGTCTGGGCCTGTGTCCTTGTCCCCAAGCAGCTGCCTATCGTCATCTCACATTGGTTTATCTAAGTAAAACTGGAAGAGCCATTCAGGTCCCTGTGGTCCAGGACTGGCTCCACTTCTTCACTGTTCATAGTTCTTAAACGGAGTGACTGCACAGAGTTAATGTCGTGATTTTGAAGATGTTAATTCCTTTGTAAAACCTTTCTACCTGTAGAAGGATTTCCCAAATTGATATTCAGATAATAGAAGCAGCTGAACCAAGGCTGAGCATGGGATGATGCTGCATGTGTGTTCGTGAGTCTGTCTCTGTGTGTATGTGGAGAGCAGAGCTAAAGGTTAGTGTCTAATGGTGCTTGCCCCCTTGCTTGGTTGCTTGGTTTGTTGTTGTTTTTGAGTCAGGGTCTTTTACTGAACCTGGAGCTCCCCAATTTGGCTAAATTAGCTGGATGAGGGAACTCGAGGGTTCCTCCTGTCTTTGTCTCTTTACCAGTGCTAGGATTACAGGTAGGCCCCCCCACATTCCCTTGTTACCTGGGTGCTTGGGGTAGGAACTCAGGTCCTAGTGCTTGTTCCGCAGGCATTTCCCTCTGGGGTAGTCATAGCACCTCTCTCACAGTGGTCACATGAGTGTGCAGTGATGCTGCTCCCCCAGGACAGGATGTGCTCCACCTCTCATCTGTCCGCTCTGCCCACAGTGTGCCTCCCCAGACACCAGGACACCCCAGACACCACATACAACACATGGATATAGTGCCTTCCACTCTGCCCACAGTGTGCCTCCCCAGACACCAGGACACCCCAAATACCACATACAGCACTTGGATATAGTGCCTTCCACTCTGCCCACAGTGTGCCTCCCCAGACACCAGGACACCCCAGATACCACATACAGCACTTGGATATAGTGCTGCTGTTTTTGAAAAACAGTGACTTTCACTTAAATCAAACATGTAGTAACATACATTTTTAATATTTCTTGTTTGCTTGTTTGTGTGTGAGTTGTGTTTGTGTCTGTGTATATGTATGCCATATGTAGTAACAGACAGTCGTGTGTGAACAATCAGATGTGGATGCTAGGAACTCAGGTCCCCTGGAAGAACCGCAAGTGCTCTTAACTGCTGAGATGAATTGTTATTATTATCCCTATTATTTTAATCATTTTTATATTTATGTGTATGGGTATAGGGACACAGGGAGGTCGTGCACATGCAAGCTGGTGCATGCAGACGTCAGAAGAGGGTGTTGGGTCCCCTGGAGCTGAGGTTACCAGTGGTTGTGAACCTGGCACAGTGCCAGGGCTGCATCCCAGCCCTCTGCAAGAGCAGCAAGTGCTTTTAACCACTGGGCCAACTTTCCCAGCCACTTCCTGTTTTTGGATACTGATTCTTTCTAAAGGATTTGACTTTTCTTCAGACTTACTGATGTCTGTGTTTAAGAGCAGCACTTTAAGAGGGCGTACACCTATAACCAGCACTCAGGAGCCAGAGGCAAGCAGATCTCTGAATTTGAGGCCAGCTTACTCAGCAGAGCTACACAGAGAAACTCTTAGAAAACAACAATCAAAACTAAAACAGAGTGGATTCACATGGAATGTTAGTAATCATATTTCCTGTCCTTGCCTGTCTTTCTATAGCAGGTTCCATGACTTTATTAAGTGGAAGCTAGAAGTTACAGATCAAAATTTATAACTTGGTGACATGATTAAATTAACTGTTAAATGACATGATCGTTTTAACTAAGACCAAATGTTTTTTAATTTAAGGTTTTTGGCAGTGCTGTATGAGAATTGAACTTTGGTTCTTAAACACACTGGGCAAATGCTCTGCTTCTAAAAACTTCATTCTCAGCCTGCTCCATTTGTGTGTGTGTGTGTGTGTGTGTGTGTGTGTGTGTGTGTGTGTGTGTGTGTGTGATGGAATCTTCATGTTTTTTGGGACAAGAATTTGGAATAACTTACATGACCTTGCCCAGGGCCACACCTACACTTGGGGCCGTAATGTCTTTGCTTGCACCTGGCCTGCCTGTGTCTTCACAGAAGTGAAATTAGAATGTTCAGACCTTATCATCATTGGACACAAATGCGTCAGAGGACCCTCGCCCATTTGACCCAGCTAGGTGCTGTCATAACTGAGAAGGAATCTGAGGCCATCAAGAGCAGGGTATCTTGGTGGGAACTCCCCTGAAGCAGATGGGTGTCCCGCTCTGCCCTGGATTGCTGTTTATTGTCTGCCATGATGTCTGCAGCTCATATATATGATGAGAGATTCTAGAACACCTGCCTTATGCTGCTGACTCTGTATGTTTTTGGTGCGTTTCCCCCTTGTCACCATGAATGAGTCAGTAATGAGTCAGTGGACATGTTTGCGGTGTCTGGTTCGACATCGGTGGTGGCTGAAACCCCAGCCCGAGAGCACCTGACTTGTCTACATTTTCCGTGTAGATGGGGTTTGCCCATTCACTTGTCAGAACTGTACGTTCTGTCCACTCTTGCTGATCTTTCTGTAGCAGGTTCCACAGCTACTTTTTATTAAGTGGGAGCCAGAAGGAGACTGTGCTGTCCTGGTTAACTTGGAAAGAAAGGGCTTTCCACTATTTCCCCACACTGCCCTGTCTGGGTTGATGACCCATACTGGTATTGTCACCTAGCTCTCCTCTGCTTTAGACTTGTTGACTGGCTGCTATAGTGTGAAAAATAGCCAGGTAATTTGTTTCTAGAGGCATGGAACAGGAATTCAGTCTCCCTGGAGAGCTGACACACCCTCCCAGGCTCAGAGGAGTTTCCTGCATGTGTGGGAGTCTCACACTTTGGCTCCCAGCATAGAAGGTATTATACTCTATACACCTTGAGTATATGCTCTCTAGGTCAGGGTAGACCCCTGGTCTGCACTTCCTTGTCTGCCAGCCTATCTGTTGCAGACTCTGTGTGTCTAAACAGAGTTCTTCCTGGACTGTCCACTGTTAGGACAGCCATTTGGCTCCACGAGATTGAAGTTTGTCCTCCTTGGGCCTGAGGCTTAAACTCAGCCACAACCCCAACACGCTATTCTATGTTTTTTTCTTTTTTACATAGTTTTATTTTCTAGATAAATCTATATACTCACTTACCCAAACTTTGAACCTCTGTTTTTAACGCTGGAGACTTTCGAGGTAAAAATGTGTTACGATCTTACCACAAAGAACACTGAAAACTGGGGCAGCATTAGTGCTTCCAGAGACGACGTCACACGCCCTCAGAAGGCTGGGGTAGCATGTGTGCATGTGTGTGCATGTGTGTGTGTGTCTATGTTTTTAACATGGAGGCCCTTTTTAAGGTTTTGGAGACCTAAACAGGTTTTCCTTAAAAAGCAGGAGGGTCTTAATTTGGGATCTTCCTGTTAGAACTGGTTGACTTAACTCCAGGCCTGTCTTTGGTGTTAAATGATTTATGTGGTTATTCTTTAAAAACAACATCCCCAGTTAACTCCTTTTTTTCCCCAGTAACAAGTGTCACACTGATACATCCTTATGGTAGCAGCAGTGGGTTTATTTGCTTGCATGTGTTTTCTGGGATAAGATCTAATCCCAGTTTTTTGGGGTTTTGTTTTGTTTTTAATGGGTCTCTGGAAAAAAGACTGGGCTTTATCCTCTGGCAGAGGGCTGGAACTGTGAGCAGCTATTCACTGCAACCTCTTGACAAGCCAGCTGTTTGTATCCGGCTCTTCCTGCTCTCAAGGGTCAGGGATGCAAATGAGGTTGGCATCATACTATAGTATAGCATGAGGACCTTGGCCAGGAGTGGGGAAGTTGAGCACCATGCTGCATGTGTTGTACTTTCATATGGGAGCCGTATACCCACATTTTTAATGTGCATGAGTGTTTTGCCAACATGTGTACATGCATACCATATACATGCCTGAGAAACCCAGAGGAGAGTTTCTGATCACCTGGGACTGGAGTTACAGGTGGTTGTGAGCCACCATGTGGGTGCTACGAATGGAATCCGTGCTCTTTGCAAGGTCAACGAGTGCTCTTACCCAAGAAGCCATCTCTCTAGCTTCTGTTTTTGTATTTTGAAATGAACTGCCAGACATAGGGGGGCATGCAATTTTTTTTACTTTAGTAGCAGGAGGTCACACACTGGGCCGAGTGCAGCCCCTTTTCAGTTTTACAAGCAGGAACTCAGCCTTATTTGTCATCTACAGCTGTCTGACTGTTGTCACATTGCTATGGCAGGGTTGAGTGGTGACAGTGAGCTCGGTGACCTTTACAGATTGACAGGTTCCAGCTTGCTTCCTGCATGCTTACCTCCTTCTCGGCTCTTTGCTTCATTCAGTACAGCCCCGCGGCCCTAGTTAGTTTCATTTGAATCTTGTTTTCAAATTGTTCTTTATAAGCTTTGAACTCAGAAACTTTTCAGTTCCATGGAAAGTGGGTGGTGCAACTACCACCCATCAGAGGCAGCAATGTTGGGTACTGTGGTACTGGCAGAGTCACATCTTTATTCCTGTCCTCAACCACAGGAAGGCACAGCACAGGCATTGTCACAGCTACTGAACTGTTTTTGCTTGAGGGACAAATTCTGTAATAAACTTCATAAGAAGTTCTAAGAAGTACACTGGCAGTGGAGCTCAGTGGTGGAGTGCTGACCGAGCATGTGTGAGGACCTAGGCTTGATCTACAACACAGTAAAAGTGGGATAGAGGGGAACAAAACACCACCACCACCAGGATACTCACTCAGTGGAGATATATACATCAGTAATGCCAGACCTCAAGAGACTTAGGCAGGAGGATCACAAATTTGAGTCAGCTTCAATGACATACCCAAGACCGTGTCTCAAAAAAGAAGTTAAAGTTCTTAGAGGCCAGTGATTAGACAGAACTTTCGAATAGTATTTTTTTCCCCAATAGAATACATTTAAAACCCATGATAGTAAACAAGTATTACAGCAAGCCTGCCACCCTCCACCAAGACAGCATACTCAGTCTGTCAAATACAGGGAGAAGACCCACGACTCTAAGCTTTAGGAAGGGCTAACTTTACAAAGCAGCCAACTGTACAACAAATGAGACAGTAAAAGCATGTTTGTGTTGGTTTTGTTATGTATGGTTGCTCTTTTCTGTGGTAAAATCCTAGATTCTCTATACACTTTAACCTGAAAGAAATTGTCCTTCCTTCCAGCCATGGTCTGAAGAAGTTCTTTAGTTGCCGTGGAATAGCGATTGCAGTTGAGTATTTCTGGAAGCTCGGCAACAGAAACATCACCGTGTTTGTCCCGCAGTGGAGAACGAGACGGGATCCCAATATCACAGGCGAGTCCCAGGGGTCTTTCCATACTTCTGATTAGATATTTACTGCCTCAAATTTCAACGTAGGATGCTTAGTATAGAATCGTCCACACGGGCAGCATCTTGAATGACAGAATTCTAAATTGGTTCTGTCTGGTAAAATAGCAAGTGAGAACTCTGTGTGGTGGTGCATACCTGTGATGTCGGTGCTCAGGAGATGGAGCAGGGAGGGCAGAAGTCAGGAAGAGCAGGGTCATCTTTGGCTACAAAGTACAAAGTAGGACTTGTAGGGGGCCTAGAGTAGACACAGCTCAGTTGACCGGTGTCGGTGTGAGGAGTGAGTAGGGAAGGGTGGAGCGAGCACAGCCGCTAGAGAGGAGTCCTCCCCCACTCCAGCTTTTGAGTATTTATATAATAATTTTAAATGGGTGCTTGGTACCTTTAGAACCTTCAAGTGTGTCTTTTCAGTAGTCTGATGGCTTACTGTGAATCATTTCTGTTTCCATATAGTACTTTGTGGCTAACCTACAGCCCCACATAAAAGGTTCGAATTTAATATAAATTGTGAAATATTCCAGAGAAACTTCAGGTTGTTTTTGTCTTAGATGAAAAGGCTGTGCCAAGCACAATAGTCAGAGCACCTAGAGAGGAAAGGTAAACCGGGAGGTGGGGGTGGGGTGGGGTCGTATTTTATAGATTTGTCTCGCACAGAAACAGGAAGTGAAACTTAGACACAAGGGAGATAGCAGTTCCAAGTGCTCCCAGCTTCCTTTATTTGGGAGAAGACGCACAAAAGCTCCCCAAGGAGCCAAGCAGCTCCACTCCTTTCTTTTCTAAGTGTCAGTGCTGACTTACACAGCATGCAGTTCTGAGGCAGGGGGCCCTCCACTTGGGGCAGGTCAGTCAGGTCACTGGCCGCTGCTTTGGTAAGAAATACAAATGTTCTCTGCTTCTCTTGCCGATGTCGCTTTCCAGAGTATGGCATTGACCCTCCATTCTGTCACTCTTCAAGCCTGTGAAAACCAGTAAATGCTTGTACAGACAGCTAAGAGTATGAGGAAGCTGCAGCCAGGCAGGAGAGCCAGCAGCCTCTCGCAGTTCACTCCTGCAACCCCGTTTTCAGAGGGCTCTTCCCCTCCCCCTCCCACTCCCACTCCCACTCCCCCGCCTTGGGTGACTCTTCTCGTTTCTCTTTTTATGGTCTACTTACAGCTTATACTTTTGGGAAAGTTCTTGGGGGCAGGATTAATAAGCATGGGCTTCTGGTTTAGTTGTCCTTTAGAGGCAGTTGAGTTTAACATTTTGTTAGCTTGTTTAAAATCTACTCAGTCAGTTCAGATGCTGGGCTTGCCTTAGTGTGAGTCTTCATTGATTTTTCTTCTTTTGATGAGTTAGTAAAGTTGAGTAAATGGGGAAAAAGAGTCTTTCTGCAAGTTCCCAAGTGAAGTATTTGGGTTTGCATTCATTTATTTACACATCTGGGAAGATAGTCTTTGCTGAATACATATTAACTTCTTCCATGAACAGAACAGCACTTCTTAACCCAGCTCCAGGAGCTTGGAATATTATCTTTAACTCCTGCCCGGATGGTCTTTGGAGAAAGAATTGCTTCTCATGATGACAGGTATGAAGGGCTGCTTTTCTTCCCAAGGTGGGAGTGGGGTGGTAAGGAGCCAGCTACCTGTCCACCAAATAGGTCTGCACTCTGAAGGGGTCTGCTTGATTCAGTTCCATACTCATCATCAAGACCACTAAGATACTCTAGAAGTTTAGGAATGGCACAGAAGAAACTTTGGTGGTTTGTTTTGAGTTTGTTTATTTTAGTAAAGTATGTCTAAGATGAGAAAAGGCAGGTGTGTAGTTGGTTGATTTTTCTTTTTGGAGATTGGGTCTCACCATGCACCCTGGCCCAGAACTCACTCTGTAGATCAAAGATCTAAGCAGATCTCTGTGTTTCAGGCCAGCCAGGGTAACACGGTGAAATCCCCACCCCCAAAAGGAGGAATTTTGATTCCACCCTTACCCCGTGGTATGTAGTTTACAACTCTATTCTCGTGCTATCATGTCTATAATAACATGCATGGTGTCTGGGACCCTCAGGCTGTCTGTCTTTCTTCTCTGCGTTATGCTGCCCATTTCCACATTCCTCCCAGTGAAGACAGTGCTTTATTTGTTAGCCAAGCTGGTATATGGTTGAATGGGAAAGAGGTGAGTTAGGGCCACAGTAGACAGTCACTGACAGGAAACAGACTGTGTTAGGTCGGGTGGATCCAAGCTGCCGTCATAGAACAGTGAAAAGAGCTGAGCAAGGGTTGCACAGGGTTAGGAGCAGCCCTGGGAATCTGTCCTGAAGGGCCCTGTGTGAACACTGTAACAGGCTCGGGACCCCTGGAGCTCAGGGAAGCCTTCAGGTCCTGACTGTCACCGAAGCTTTCTTCTCACAGCCAGACTTACAGATGAGGCTTTTGCTTGGCTTATGCAGCCCTCTGGGTATCAGAGAACATGGGTGTGTATCCCAGTGGATATAAGAGAAGCCTTCCAATCTACTTTTATTGACATTTGGGTAAATAGCAGCATCGAAATTTATGCACTTTAAAAATAAACTGTAATGTTCCTAAATAAGGAAGTCAGTCAAGCGAGGTAGTTCAAACCCATGATCAAAACACTTGAGAGGTAGAAGCAGAAGGCTTAGGAATTCAAAGCTATCCTCAGCTACACAAGGAATTCTAAGCTGGCCTGGAATATACGAGACCCTGGGTGAGGTGGGTAGGATGTGGGTATAACAAAAACAAAACACTTTGTAAGGTTCCTGAGATCTCGGAACCGAGACTGCTAAGAAGGACGGTCATTCATACCTTTGATGCCAGTGATCTCTTTTTTGTTCCATTATCTTTGTTCTCATTCAAGAAATAACACTTCCATCAATTCCACAGGTTTCAGTTCTATTTTGTTTTGCTTTTTTAAATAGGTTCTCACTATGTAGTCTTGGCTGTCCTCAGACTTCACAGATTAACTCTGTGCCTCTGTTCTATAAGTGCTGGACTTAAAGGTGTGCACTACTATGCCTGGATACTCAAAAAGATTTTGAGAGAGTTTGAACAGGAATAATCTTCAGCAGTATGACACAATTCTTTATTATTTAATTTTTACCTTTTTTTCAGCACCATTACATAAGGCCCTAGTTCTATCCTTAGCACCCTATAAATCAGGAATGTTGACACACACCTGCAATCCAGTATCACAGGGTAGAGGCAAGAGGACCAGACGGTCAGAGTTATCCTCAGGGTACTTGGTTCAAGGCCAACCTGGGAGACCTAAGACCCTTTCTCTCAAACACGAGGCTAGGAGTTGAGTGATAAAATACTTACTGTCAGGTCCAAAGGGCTCCCCAGTTCTACAAAATGGCAGTCTTGGCTCAGCTCAAGCCTGACCATAGGTAGATTGCTGTGGGAGATAGAAAAGCTCACACACACAGCATCCCTGCCTTCCAGGAAGGGCCACATCCCTTGACCTTTGTAGTTACAAAAGCCCAAAGCTAAGTAAACGCCAGGTTCCTCCAGTCCCTGGTAACATGGCTGTTCTTTCTCTCCTCCCCAACTATGCTAGCTCACAGGCAGCAAGCACCCCCCTACACACACACACACACACACACACACACACACACACACACACATACACACACACACACAAAGATACCCCTAGCCATGGTCGGTATGCATCTTCTTCTCTCTTCTTCTACTCTTCGTTCTCTAATAAAACCCTTCTCCCAGCCATGGAACAGTCATCCTGGTAGTTTCTCTACTGCGCCTGCGCCTCACTTGCCTAGCCTGCCAGGCCCTTGATCGGTTTGATCGCCAGCACTAAAAGGACTGTTGTTAAAATGCAAACCCGTCTCGCCACCCTAGGCCCTTCCTAATTGAATGAGTCTGTCTATTTTCAGGCCAAACTGAAGGGTGGTTCTGACTGATGTCTTAAAGCAAAGCAGAAAATGGATTGCTTTTTAAAATTGCACAGCTGACCATCAAGTAACTAACACTGAACTAAACTCAGGCAGCCAAGCAGCTGAAAGGTAGAGGTTTCACAGGCCTGTTAACTCGCTCAAGCTTTCATGCATTCTTACCACAGTTTATTGTAGGAGCTTTTCTAGAAGATGTAGGACTCATAGTTAAAATCATTTTTTTGTAGAATGAGATTGCATGAAAAGCTGTTTTATAATCACACTAGTAATTCCAGAGATACTCATAATTTGAACATTTTCAGTTGACAGGGGCCTAACTGTGTCCAGCCTGGGTTCACCTGGCGATTTTCTAAGAACAGCGCTTCATATCCTTAGCTGCTCCAGCTAGGCGTGCTCTTGGCTCATTCTGACCCCTCTTGTTACCATAGGTTCCTTCTTCACTTAGCGGACAAGACTGGGGGTATAATTGTGACAAACGATAACTTCAGAGAGTTCGTGACTGAGTCAGTGTCCTGGAGAGAAATTATTACAAAAAGGTAATCTTTTCTTCTTGGCTTTGATCAGAAGTTTGTTGTTTGCATTTTGTGTAGCTTCTGCTTGCTGGAGTGGTGGACTCAGTCAGGGTAAGGGTGGGCCTCCTAGGAGTACCTGCAAGACTGTACCTTGTGCCTTCTAAAATGTCAGTTCTGTGACTCAGCAAGAGTATAGGACACAAACATTTTGCTGAGGGAAGGGGGCACCTAACTGAGGGTCCAGAGGCGAGTCTTTCAAGTTTTAGTTTCAGTGTCTGATGTATTCCATGAGTTTAGCGTGCAGGCTTTCTTCTTGGTGATTCTGTGGATGTGTTCAGTTGCTAAACTGCAGAGCAGTGAACACTGAGTTCCACGGGCCCCCGGAAGACCTGTGTACTTGAGCAGCCACTCCACACAAGAGGCCCGAGTGCTGTGCTCTGGTTCCAGGACTAAAACAGACATGTGCACGCTGCAAATATGAACATGAAGTGAATGTGCCCACGTTCATTTCTCTTGGGATTTCACAGTTGCCCCTTCTCTGTTCATCCCTATAGCCTGGTATTCATCCTAATAGGAGTTTTGGCTTGGGCTGATGAGCAGTGCCAAGCCTGGGGACCTGAGATCAGTCCCTGGAACCACACGGGGGAAGAGAGGTTCCCTCTGACCTCCCCCGGTTTGCAGGGGCACATGCATGCACACAGACACATAAACAATGTAACTTTTAACTTTTAACAGAAAGGGACAGCTTGGTCACAAACTCCTGGATAAAAATGAATTACTATCTACATTTTGACTTCTGTATTGCTACAGAGGTCTTGGTGCTGAGTGGGGGAGCGTTGGTCTCTGACCTAGTAGGCAGTTGCTGAGTGAGCTGTTAAACTCCACGGACTGGTGTGTGTTACACACGAGTCTGCACACAGCCTCTCATTGTAGTGGGTCTCAAAACAACCTAGACGGCAGAGAAGCAACTCAGAAACCAAAATTCGGACGACAGACGTACACAGTAGTAGCTTTTTACTGTCTTCATTTATTTGAGACGGGATCTCACTATGTAGCTCTGGTGGGCTCCACCTCACCTCCTCTGCTTTGGAGTGCTGGGATTAAGAGCACATACCACCACACCCAGCTAATTTTTTACTTTTTATTTTTTGTAAGGTGCTAGAACCCATGGCCCCGGGTTTGCCAGACAAGGCTTTCCTGCTGAGCAGGCTCTGGCTCCAACCTGTCCTCGATGAGTAATGCCTGCTCACCTCACCCTTGGCTTTCTCTTCCTAGAACCTGGTTTCCAGAGGTTTGCCTAGGAACACGTTTGTTTTCTAGTTTCATTTACACGAAATCTTTGTGGTACATCTGCTGAGTCCCAAGCAGACAGCCTTTAACTGTGTTTCTCATCTGGTAGAAGATGCTGAGAAAAGCTGCTTGTGTAACTGTGTCCATTACCAAAGTTACAATGATTTCACTTGAGTGTGGGGTCAGTTAGCAGTCAAAACTCTTAGACTGACCATTGCTCCAGGATGGAGAGGCTACTTTAAGACATGCCCCATTTCCTACAATAGTAGAGGGTACTGTTTGTCAGCACTGTGACCTTCTGTGTTGTAGACTGCTTCAGTACACGTTCGTGGGGGACATATTTATGGTTCCTGATGACCCTCTGGGAAGAAACGGACCTCGGCTAGAAGAATTTCTTCGAAAGGAGGTCTTTCTTAGGTATTTCTTTGTATTCCCTTGTATGTCAAGGTTTATTATGTCAATCAAATGGTATGCTTCAAAGCAGGTACTGTTCTTGATAATTGGAAATGGCATGGTTTTTGAAGCCTTAATTAGATTAATGATATGTGACTGACGTGGAACCCAATCAAGCAGTCACTCCAAGGCTAATCTTGAGTATAAGCATTTCAATTTTCTTTTTCCTGCCCGCCTGCTTTAGACCATTTCTGTGTCAGCAGGCTGAACTCAACTCTGATCCTTCTTCTTCTTCTGCCTCCTGAATGCTGGGGGTCCAGACCTGCCCTGTGTGAGGCTCCTTCTCATTTTAATCCTAAGAGAACATAAATATTCTCGAAGGTCTCCGAGCAGCAGATTTTCAGGCTGGCAATAACTTCAGTCAGTGCTGTCTGATTGCTTTTGTGGGATGCTTTCCTATGAACTGTCTGGAGTTGTTTGTTTTGCGTGTGCAGTGCTGACGTGAACTCATGTCCTGCTCAGAAATCACTGCTAGAGAGCCGACAGCTACAGTTTACCATCACTGAATGGAAAAGCCTGTCTTACGTACTTGTCTGACACTGACTGACAAGTGAGGGTTATATATTTCTATGTTCAGAATTCTCTGGTGACCTTGTTAACCACAGCTTCCTTCATGCTAACCAGTGGCAGATCTTTTCTCTGTTTTAAAACCAAAATAACCTGTATTTCTATGGACCCTCTAGCAGATTTTTGCATAGGGTTTGTCTGGGTACCTAAAAGGAGAAGGCATACTCTCTACCAACTTCCAAGGCTGCTAATCTGTCATTTGTGCCTTTGGGGACCATCTATTGGAACTTGATGGTGCACGGAGGTGGGTTGATTGTCATAGAGGTGTCTTCTATAATGCATGGAGGTGGGTTGATTGTCATAGAGGTATCTTCTACAATGGAGACCAGTGTGCGTTCAGTTTCCTAATCTACTGATCCTTTCTCTCTGAGCCTTTGGGTTTTATCACAGTTGAGGTGTGAAGTCCCAGACAGGGTCATCTGCCCACACTGAGGAAATGACAGCCTGCCATGTGCTCAGTCACTTCCCCTCTACCCCATGTCTTACATTGGAAATCCGCATTGCTTTTTAGGCCTCATGGCCTGTGTGTGAGGCTATGTGTGGGCCCCGGGCTGAGTGAAGGCCCAGGTCAAACTGGAGGTGGGTTCTTGACTACCTGTTCCAGTCCTGTAGTAGCCAGGTGACAGGATCAGCCCTTCTGGTCATTCTCTGTCCCATCTAATGTCCTTTTCAAAGTGCTTGGTGACCAGTTGTCATTGCTCTTTCATGAGGGGATGTCATCAAGGTTAATTAGCTTTTGTAGGCTATTGAGCTTCTGAAATTGGCGACACTATTTCTCCCAGCTCTCAGCTGCAGCTAGAATTGGTGGAAGTTGTTGAGCAGGACAGATGTCCCCTGTATGCACATAGAACCACCACGTGTATGTACATTGAGAGCTCACGTGCCTCATCTAGACCTCATTGAAGACAGGAAGTCCATGAGCCTGTTGGAGTTGCCTCTATGCCCAGGGAGAGTTACCTCTCCTCAGTTCTGTAAGCTGATCCTGTACAGAAGAATAGGAACCTTACAAACCCAGTAAGTGTGACCAGCCCTAAGTCCAAAGACTGGTTAGGCACCGTCAGACCTAGGGAAGATCGATCCCTTATGAGTCTGGAAATGGTCCCGGGTGCTCTATATAGGCCACTCTTAGGGGGCTGATTTCACCACCCCATGGCTTTCTCCTCAGGCCTTCAGTGTTAGCCATAGGTGCTTTGAAAGGGTTTCTTACTGTCCCTCTCACTTCATCCACAGAGACATGCAGCCGCTCCTCAGTGCCCTGCCAAGTGTGGGCACGTTTGACCCTGGCTTCCGGGGTCCTAGCACCCAGGTAGCCAACACCAGCCACCAGCCTCCACCCCGGATCCAGGCCTCTTCAAGCCCTTGGCTTCCTCAGCAGCCCCACTTCACACCCCTGACCACCCTTCCCAATATGCAGCAGAACCTTCCCATGCCAGCACAGAGATCTTCTGCAGAGACCAGCGAGCTGAGGGAGGCACTGCTGAAGATCTTCCCTGACTCTGAGCAGAAACTGAAGATCGATCAGATCCTGCTAGCTCACCCGTACATGAAAGACCTGAATGCCCTGTCTGCCCTGGTGTTGGACTGACGGCTGGACTAGAGCCCACTGATGACGGGGAAACGAGGGAGCCGCCAACTGTGGGAAGTACTGTAATGTGAAGAAGCCTTCCCAGAAAACATTGCTGTGTTGTATAGAAAAAGGAGGGAGATGTTTTGTGTATACAAAAATCTGGGTTTTCAAAGCCAGCTTTTTTCTATATATAAATTATGCTGCTATTACAGATTTAACATTTTCTGTAAAAGGAAAGTACATTTTCTGCCTGTTCAGAACTGTTTAATAGCAGTTACTCTTGAGTGTATTTTCAATTTTATGTTTTTTAAACTATTTTCCTTAAAGCAGAAGAAAAATTGACAAATAAATATGGTTCGCCTTTCTAAATAAAATTTAAAAAAAAAATAAGAAAAAAAAGGAGTTGCTTCCTTAAGGAAAGCAAGACTTCTTAAAGTCTATTTTCTTGAGGTAATCTGTCCTGTCCACTAAACATGGCGTGTGCCCCCCTCCTTTATCCCTAGAGTTGGCCTGCTCTGCTCTTGTGGGGCTTCCTCAGTGAGCCATTGTGAGAGTGGGGAAGTGGAGCCACTAGATGGCACCTGACGTCTGGGCTGGCACCAATGGCCAGAGTCAGACTCTGAAGAGCAGGTGGGAAGTCTTAGAGGCGGTATGGCCCCACCTTCCTTCCCCTCCGCTGGACAGAGAAGGGAACTGAGTCCCAGCATACTCCCTGGCTGGCGTAGCACCGCAGTACACTCACCAGCCATGGCCACCATGCTCCCAACCTGGCTCCACAGCTACCTTAGCCTCAGAAGGCAAGGTAGGCGCTGAAGCCTCTGGTGAGGAGACCCCCCCATGTGGAGTTTGTACAGCTTTGCCAAAAAGTTTTCTATTCTCAAGGATGACCCAAGCCAATAAATAGCATTAGTAGTTTCAGAGGGGGCATCCAAGCCCTGTAGTTCCCTTCTTTTGTCTCCTTAGTGGCTCCTTAGCAGCTCTCCTGAGTCTTTCAGAACCAGTTATCTCAGTATTGTCCTTTCTCAGTGTAGCTTGAAGTCTGTGTCTGTGAAACTCTTCCTGGTCATTCTTAGCGTCTTGACTCTCACCTGGACCTTCAAAGGGCTTTGCGTTTCCCATCCATGCTGTCTCCAGGCCCTCGTGGTTAAATTCACTGCCCTGTGGTTTGTCTTTCTCCCGGTCCCACAAGTAACCGAGGACTTGGTGCTGGTTTGTTATCCGTGGTGCAGGGACTGTGTAGATCACAGAATGCTGCCACCATGCTGTGTCTTGGTTCATTGATCCCTGCATCCCACAGGAAATGAATACAGAGCCTTCTAGGTGGCCATACTTATATATTCTCTCCTGAATTTGTTGGTGATCCAGCCTGCTGGGGAGCTGTTTGTCATTTGTCACTAGGGGTTTTCAGACCTGCAGGCTGTGCAAGTAGAGAACAGAGACTTCTAGCCAGCCCCAGGAGTTGATCCACCACAGCTCCCCACCCTGTGCCACAGCTTGGGAGCACAGCAAAGGTCCCAAGGCAGAGCTGTCTCCAGGGCTTCCTTGGTCTGGTCAATCCCAGTCCAGCATTGCTGAAAACCAGGAGAGCCAGGATGCTGGCAGGGAGGAGCACAGGCTTTCAAAGGCCCTGCAGTCAGCCTGAGCTTTGAGTTGTGTGTGCTTCTGTGTTTTTAGTATTGTTTCTGAGAGATACCTACCCATCTTCCCTTGTTCCATATAGGAGGGAAGAAAAAGCTGGAGGAAACCAAAAGGCATTAATTACTTTGTAGATTATAATGTGAAATATAATTCTAGATTCTTTGTGAAATCTGTCACATTTAGGTATCACATTTACAGCCCAGTTATCCAGCCACTGAAGAAAGCTCACAACTTGCTTCTTTGCCTCATCCAAAGCTCTGTTGCTGCTAGGTGCTTGTAGATGCTTGACCTCCTTCCAGTGCCTCCTCATTGAGTTCCTTGGGATTCCTCCCTCTGTGGAGTGCCTCTGCCTCCTGTGTATCCTGACATTTGGGTGAGGTGGCCAGCACAGCTAAGGCTGACACCTTTGGTCATTTGACGAGGTGTCTGGTGGAGTGTGTTTGTGTGTGTGTGTGTGTGTTAGGCTCAGCTGTATTGCTAGGACTTGCTTTAAGACATGAAAGAGAACGCCACCTCTCCTTGCCAGTCCCAAGTACCTAGCCCTCCCCCTGGGAGGGACATCTGCTGCAGGCAGACCCTCAGCACCAGGCTCACCCAGGTTCTGCCTGCTTCCCACACCTCCCCAGTGCTGTCCCTCCTCAGCATTCTGAGCCACCTCAGCTGGGTCCATCAGTTGCACTGCTCTCCTGCACTGTTACTTGGTTCCTCCGATCCCTGTAGTTAAAATGCCTCGTTCTGCTTCTAAGGCTTCACTCTGCCTTCCCACTTTTCCCCTCCCCAGTCTGGAAACTGGGCTTCTGCCCACCACATGGGAGTAACCTGGGAAATCACTGCTTGCCATTTTCCTTGTTAATGGAGTAGCTACAGACAGCAAAGCCACTGGCCTTACTCTCTTTGATGTCCTTCTTGAAGCCCTCTATTCCTTTCTTCTCCTTACTGGACTATCCTTAATACAGTTTCTCAGCAGGTGGTTCTCAAGCTGAACCACCCTTAGGGCTCACAGTGAAAAGGGCAGCCCCTGCTAAAAGGCAGGCTGTCAGTCACCACCCTGATGGGTGGACTCAGTGCTCTAGAGGAAAGCCTGGAGGCTTGTCACTGCCACACGCCCTGAGTTGCTGTGGTAGGTGGTCTTGAACTGGATTTACGTAGGAGTCACCACTCTCCTAACTCTCCCCTCCACTCTAGTTCTCTAGCCCTCTGGGATCCTGCCTCCCAGAACCTCGGCCTACAGCCTGCCATTTCTCACCTAACCCTGAGGTCCCATGTATCTATCCTTCTTGGCCCTTGGCTTGCTACTGCCCATCACTTGTTCCCACAATCCTCCATGACACTGGTTCCTCATTGCTTACCTTACAGCTCTTCCCTCTCCCTAATTCCGGGGGACTCCAAGTTCATCTTCTAGAGTTCATCTTTTGCATCATCCTCTTCCTCTGTGATCTCTAGCTGCAACCAGAGCATCAAGTTCCTACCCTCTGAGCCTCGTGTCCACGGCTACTGCCCCATGGCCATACTCGACAGTCTTTCTATCTTTCGCCATGATCCTCACTCCAGCTACCCAGATCTAGGTTCCCCATGAGCCCTGTTCATGTTTATTCCTCTTCCAGAAATGCCCTTCTGCCCTACAGCCTGCCTCCTCAAAGGCCCAGCCCTGAGTTCTCTTTGTGTTCTGAGCAGAAGCAGCCCCATGCTATTCTGTAGCCCCACAGCACTTGGTGTCTCGCTTCTGGTTCTTACCACTCTGGCAGGTGTAGCTGCAGCCAACTGTGTACTGTGTTGCCTCCCTCTAGACTGTGAGCTCCTCGTGGGCAGGGACCATATGGTCACTCTGTATCTCTTGTGGCACCTAACAGTGCCTTGCACTTGGTAGGTGCTCAATAAATGTCTGTTCAAGTAAGCTGGAGGATGGTGCTTTCTTGACTGCGGCTTTGGCAGCAGGTCCCTGAAGGATCTGTGGTGATTGTGTTTAGAGACAGGACTCACCTCTGTTAGGTTTAGGGGTGGGTCTGATTTCCTGGGTCCCCCTTTGGAGGGGGGGTATTTGAGCACATACCATCCTGGGCAAAGTTGCCTAGACCTGGAATCCTGACCAGACAGAACCATCCAGAGCAGACAGTTGGCCCAGGCCACTCCTGACAGTCTTCCTCAGGGATCTTCCCCATTGTAGGAGCCATGGGGTGATCCACAGCAGCTATTAGCACTGTTTTCTGACATGGGGAGGAAACATGATCAAGAGACTCCTGGCCCTGGGTTGTGGGCTCCCTTGTCAAGGAAGTGCTTTGTCAGATGTCACCAGGCCCGGGATTCTCTTAAGTGTCTCCTGTTGCTGAAGCAGTTTCATGTTGGGATTAATCCCTTGAAGTCCCATGTCTACTTCTAGTGAAGCACCTCACTGTCCTACACAAAGCATGGCAGGTTAGATGGGAGATGCCCAGCCTAATGTCTAGGGAGGTCCCAAAGATTTGTGCAAGCAGCACATGAGGAGTATGCCAACATGCAGCTCTGTGTGTCCTGCTTAAGAGAGCCCCGCCCCCACCAAGTTCCCTAGTGCCCCTCTCATGGAAGGAGGCGTCCTCCACTGCCCTATGTGGAGGGATATACCCAGCATTGTTGCTGTGGCGGGAGGCCAGGAACATGTTTCGTTGGGTTGGGTTGGGTTGGGTTGGGTTGGGTTGGGTTGGGTTGGGTTGGGTTGGGTTGGGCTGGGGGTTGGGTTGGGGGTTGAGTCCCCAAACACATGATCCTCTTGCCTCATGGTCTGTGTCAGCGTCCAAAGCACTGGGATTACAGGTGAGTGCCACCATACCTAGTAGGGTTGGTTGGTTGGTTGGTTGGTTGGTTGGTTGGTTGGTTCTTAGACACACTCAGTCTATAGCCCAGGCTAGCCTTGAATTCATGGTAGTCCTCCTGCCTCAGCCCTAGGTACTAGGGTTACAAGTGAGGACTACCATCTTTGCCGGTTTTATAAACTAAAGCAGTTCAGGTTTCTACTCTCTGGACACCTGCTGCTACCAAGACCGGAGATGACTTCTTGGGAAACAGTTGAGCCCAAGTCCTACAGCCAGTGGCAAAGATGGGGCCCAGGAGCTGGAATTGCCACTCCTGCTTCCTGTTTGGGTAGGTTTCGCTGCAAATCACAGAACTCTACACTGTAGCCACCAGCTTCTAGGATTTTCCTTGCCATCTCCCTCCAGTTCTCCCGCTAGCCCTGCTCATCCACACAGTCTGGGTTCAGACTCAGCAAAGACAATTAGGCCTGCACTGGTCTGCCACCTGTCTGGCTCCTGGATCAGGCTCAAGTTGCAGTAACCTAAACAGGCGGCAAGAAGGGTCCTCCTGTGTGGCCTACAGGGCTATAGCAGCAGGTCACTTTACATGTTCTCTGAGTCCCTTCTACCCAAAAGAAACCACAGAGGCAGTGCTGGAGGGAAGGAAGGAGGCAGTAAGAATGGTCTGTTATGAATGGGTGGGCCCTGGTCTGTGTGACCTAGTGCTGTATGACCTTGAGAAAGTTCCTCAGCCTCTCAAGTCTCCGGAAGGCTTGATGACAGGGATACTGCCTCCACAGATCCCAGCATGCCCTCAGAGCTGAACACTGCCCTGCTGGAGTTTCGCTGCAAGCTATAGCAGCTGTGCATACCTCAAATCCTGGCACTTGGGCAGCTGGGACAAGAAAGTTGCCACAAGTCTAAGGCCAGGCTGGAATACAATGTGAGATTCTGTCTGAGAAGAGGTGGGAGAAGGGGACAGCACTGCGATCAGGATTGTGTGTCAAGCCTTGAAGCACCTGCTTTGGCTGGCTGCCCACTGACTGCCCTTCCTGATCCCTGTCTCCACCCCTGTGTCCTCACGTCCTAGAAGAAACGACTAATCACATCTAAGACAGTTTCTGAAGGAAGAGAAACAAGGGAAAGTAACAGTTGGATCTTTTCACCAAACTTGTTCATTACCTCGCCTAGCCATGGTTCACAGTGTATAGAGACCCAACTGGGTCTGGTTGTTCACAACCACCAACAATCCTATAAGACAGGCCTTGAACTCTAGTGATCTGGATAGATTTGACCTTCATAGTCTCATGTATTTGATTTGAATGCTCGGTCCATAGGGAGTGGCACTCTTAGAAGGTGTGGCTTTCTGTAGAAAGTGTGTCACTGTGGGTGTGGGCTTTGAAGTCTGTGCTCAGGCTCCAACCCATGTGTCATTTAGTCTCCTGGCAGCCTTCAGATCAAGATGCAGAATACTCTGCTCCTTCTCCAGCACCATGTCTGCCCACATGCCACCATGCTTCCTGCCATGATGATAAGGGACTAAATCTCTGATCTGTAAGGCAGCCCCAACGAAATGTTTTCCTTTATAAGAGTTGCCTTGGTCATGGTGTCTCTTCACAGCAGTGGAAACCCTAACTAAGACAAAGGTGCCGGAGAAGTTGAGAGTTCTACATCTTGACCGGAAGGCATCCAGAAGGAGACTGCCTTCTGCCGGCAGCTAGGAGTAGACTAGAATCCCACACTGGGCAGAGCTTGAACATAGAGAACTCAAACCCCACCCACACAGTGACGCACTTCCTCCAACAAACTAACACCTCCTAGTAGTGCCACTCCCCATGGGCCAAGCATTTAAACACATGAGTCTATGGGGGCCAAACCTATTCAAACCACCACAGAGTTCAAATCCCGTTTGTTCTGCCTTCCCAGAAGATGGTGGTGGCATTTCCCTCAGAGTGTTCTTCATTGTCTGACACTTTCAGGACCCCCCAAGACCAGAATCAGCCAGAGCCCCTTCTCGGTGGAAAGTGATGTTGAGTTCCTTGTACCTTCCCAGAGCCCTGGCTTAGGACACTATGGAGTGCTGATGGGAGAGACCCTGGACTGCCACAGAAATGGCCTTGGCTCAGATGGTTGTGTAGCTCCGATCCTGACTCAGGTTTGCATCTGTTTGCTACCCTAGTATCCTTATCCTGAAGAACCCCAGTAGGCATGGCAGCCCATGTCCCTGCCACAGACAACCAATGACATCAGCATCTCCGATTCAGGGCCAGAGAGCAAACTCCAACTTGTAGTGATAATTCCACAATTTCAATGTCTTTAAAAAGCACAAAGATATTATTGTAAGAATATGTTTTCATTTTAATCCCAGGTGTGGGGATGTGGGGCTGCTTCAGACTGTCTGCAGCTACGATTTCCTTTGTGCTCTAACAGAGGCATGGCTTTGCTAGCTGCAGATAGGTTCTGTGGTTGTGTGACATTTGGAATTCTGGGAACCCCATCTAGAGATGGGGTGAGTGGTTGTTGGTTGTTCAGGAAGGTTGTTTGTAGTATTAGAAGTCATGCTCAAAGAAGAAACAAAAGGAAAGAAATTAGATTCAGGGATCTCTCTGTTTCTCTCCCCCACTCCTCTATCCTTTTTCTCCTATCTAGTGATAGAGGTTAAAACCAGGGTAGGGGTGCGATAAAGGGTGGGAAAAAGAAGAACCCACAAAGTAGCAAAGAGCTACCCCAGCCCAGCTGTCGGTGAGGCATTCTGCTTCCTGCAAGCTGACCATCCCATGCTTCCTGTCTCTTCTCAGGAGTCCTCCCCATGCCCAGCCAGCACTCACCGCCATTTCTGCCATAGCCAGAACTGTAAGGTTAGCAGAAATAGTTTTCAGTGCAGGTGAGAGGCAGGACAGCAGAACTGAGACCTGTACCCTAGTCTGCACACTCTGATAGTGGCACTGTTTCTGTCCACCGAATGGCCCAGAAGCCACAGCCAGGTGTCCTTCAGTCATTCTATGATGGCAGCAACCTTCCACGAACACCTAAGCCTAAACATCCATGGGGAACATCACCATGGTGTCTAGGCAAGGGAAATGTGTGGAAAGAAACAAGGCTAGGTAAGGCAGGCCCTGCCTACAAGATCTGTCCTGGCAAGAGAATGGACATCGAGGAGAGGTTCCAAGAGTGTAGAGGCTTCACACTGGAAAGATAGGGAAGAAGACCTAGCTAGGGCCTGTGTTCCTTCTTCAGGTGGAGATCTGTGGAAAGTCAGTGAGCTCCAAGCTCTTTAGAAAGCCCTTCCTGGTCCTGTGTTCTCCACCTCAGAGACACCTGATGTAGGACTAGGAGCATGGCCTCAGTTTCCAGCCAAGCTACCTCCACTGCGGTGGCTGTTGAGGGGTAGTGCCGGGGTCACTTCTCTAACATGCACTGCTGAGTCCCAGGGATGCATTTTTAGTGGCTTGGCCTGTCAATAGTGTGTGGTGGCCCAAGGGTGGCTTGGACCAGATAACAGGGATATCAGGGGAGATGGGTCATCATCCCAGTAGGAAGCCATCACCAGTCTCCATGTGTGCACTGCATGGTTAGTCAAGATGAAGCCATTCCTCAATAGTAGGAAGAACGCGTGCTTCCTGTTTGAGAGCAGTATAAAGTGAAGCTAGGGGCAGAGGAACTAACTGTTGGATAGCATGCATGGGTCTTGGGACCCATCCCTAACTAATTAACAATCTATCACTTATCCGGCTACCTACCTACATACCTACATACCTACCTACTTACCTATCTATCTCACACAGAGCAAATGAATTTGGGGGCGGGCAAAGATTGACTACTAATCATGGCATAAGATGTAGCCTCTCTTACAGAGTCCCCTAATCACTCTGTATACTTGGTCAGCCTGCTTAAAGGGAGGAAGGAAGGAAGGAAGGAAGGAAGGAAGGAAGGAAGGAAGGAAGG